CAAAATTAAATTGAAAAATAATATCATTTATATTTATTTATATCAATTTTATTTATTCATCAAATTATGCAAAAAATTTGACAAATTATTTGGATCGATCTGTTCTTGGCCAGAATAAAACTCCATTACAGGCCAATACGTACCTTCTATGTAGTATAACACCAGCCTATATATATATAGTTGTGTATGTATATATACGTACATATATAGTTGTGTATGTATATATACGTACATATATAGTTGTGTATGTATATATACGTACATATATGGTTGTGTATGTATATATACGTACATATAGAGTTTTGTATGTATATATACGTACATATAGAGTTTTGTATGTATATATACGTACATGAGCGAACGTATACTCAGACCTCATTCACTCACGTCATTTACTTCAATAAAACGAAGTAATTTAAAGTTAATTTGATTCACTGTCTTCAAGCATTAAGGGACCATTGATATCATTCTCTTCTTCTTGTCACTCTTTATTTCTTTTTTTTCTATCTCTTTCTCTTTTGATTTTTATTTTAAGTTTTATAGAATGAATTTTTTAAATGTTTGTTAACACATTCAAGATATATTATTAAAAGAAAACATAGATGAATATACCAAGCTACTGATCAATTGTATTTCAATAACACAAACAAAACCAGACGTACAAACACAAATACAACTAGACATACAAAGACAAAACCACCGGGACACACAACCACACAGACAAACGAAAAAAACGCTGAGAGAGAATTACTGAACTTTTGAAATCCCGCTCGTGTGCCCAATTTTTTTCCTCATTCATTTATTGAATTTTGCTTTTGACCGAGAAGGCAAGTGGAGAATATGACGGGCATTGCTCGTGCAAGTCACCTCTCACCTATTGCTTTTTTGGCCCTAAAATTTATTGCGCCATCCGCCGGGAGCTCGCGTGCGTTTTCAAAGTTGAAGTATATGTTTGTTTGCTGAATGCGAGTCTGCGAGTGCGTGCGTAACAATGCTGATATACCGTTGTAGTTATTTTTCGTTTTGTTGTTGAGGTTTCGGAACGTGCCAGTGTCATGATTAGTGTTGGTTAGTATTGTTGGGTTTGTTTGTGTATTTAAATGCTTGTACGTCTGCGTAAATTATGTTCGCGTTTGATATTTGTTATCTCATTTTGCCTGGTCATCATGGGATGATTTAATTCATAAGCACATTTCCTCAGTGTGCTGCTCTCTACATTGTAGAGATGTCTCCGTGTGTGTCTGTAGGGGTGTGCACGTGCGGTCTGCTGTGCATAGATACACGTGGATGAGTGCTTCATGCATTGTTGCAGGCTTGTTTATGTGTCACAATATTTTGGCTAATGAAATTATGTGATGGAGATTTTTGATCATACAAATGTTATTCGAACATCTGTGAACAGTGAACCATACTTTTCTTTAGAGAAATAATTTATTTTCTAATTTGAATTTATGAACACAGACGTTAATTTTTGGTACTTATATAGGCAATGGTTATATGTAGATGAATTTGTTAACTAATGATATAATAAAAATTTGCGGCTCTTTTTAAATGAGTGTAGGTGTAGGTTTTGTTACATGAAAAATAATTTGTTATTAGAATAATCTATCTCCATATCGATAACATTTAAAAAAAACTTTTCTTTGTACTAATGGGAGAGCGCTGACTAAAAACTAAAAATATTCAAAAGCAAAAAGTTTATAATAAATAATTTATTGAAGTTACTTAACACCATTCTTTATATGGCAAGTTACATTCATTATTCAGTTTTCATCTGTTGTCAGCTGTACGAACTTAATACATTCACAAGTGTAGGTACGTGTGTACGTTGTTCCAGTAGTTGCTAAATTCATTGAACTGACATAGTACAGTGATAGATTATTGTATGTATGACAAAGCTAGGCCACAGTTTGGAAGAATGTATGACAAAGTTAAGCCACAGTTTTTCGAGAATTAAAGCCCAGCCATCCCTTCGCTTGTCATCAGCATCTGAAATTTCAAAAATTTCAAAATTTCAAAAATTTCAAATAAATTACTACCCTCCATAACATTCAACGAACAAAATTTTTGATTGACTGCCACCTCCCAATCTGTACCTCAAACAGTTTTTGTACTGTGGTTCTGTACTTTATTATGTGAGATGTTAACGATTGAAGGAAAGATTTTTCTGTAGCCGAAAAAATTAATGATCAAATGTTGCTAGCCTAGCTACGCCTCTGTAACGGATTTGAATCCCCGAAAAAATTACCACGTGATGGACTATGCCTGTCAAATAAAATCATCAAATTGTAGACACGTCAATGCTTAACTTAATTCAAACAGTTTTATATGAAAAAAGATTTGATAAAATTCGCCCACCATTATTGAGACGCCCCAAGATTTAGAAATAGTCAATATTTTTTGGTACTTCAATTTGAATGAATGGTTAATACTAATTAGAACCAAAGTAAAGAATTTACATTTTTTTTTGTATGTATGTATGTATGTATGTATGTATGTATGTATGTATGTATGCATGTATGTATGTATGTATGTATGTATGTATGTATGTATGTATGTATGTATGTATGTATGTATGTATGTATGTATGTATGAACCCATAATTGATTAGAACTATAGGGAAGTAATAATCATCTCCGGGTTCAGCTTCAATCTATGTTAAACGCTTCGCACAGACAGGTATTTTAACGCTCCATCCAAAATACAGAAAGAATTATATTTTTGAAGTAAAATAGAAAAGGATTGCTTTACATAACTCTTATCTAATGGGTCACCCGATACTTTTACAATCCTGCTACAGAGTTCATTCAGAAAACTCTGAGTCTGAGCATCGGTTGGACCAAAGGTCTCAATGCAGACTGGCTGAAAAATTTTGCTTTCTGCAAGAGCCGCATATTTTGAATTTTTAAAGTCTGCGGCTCTTAAGGCAGTGGCACCCGCCTCCTGTGAGGTAAGATTAATGTACCTTTCAGCCATGGTGTGAGGGAACGTAACGTCCCAAGCAAGGGAACGTCCCTGCGCCCATGGTGAGTATACCCATCGGGCCTGAGGCTACCTTCCTCCATAAGACCCGTGGGTTCTTTAAACTTGAACTTGGTTGAAAAGAAAAATTATATACAAAGAATGGTAGGCAATGTTGAGATGATATTTTCTTCTCTTCCTGTGACCAAATTTATATCATCATGAAACAACATGTATGTATGTATGTATGTATGTATGTATGTATGTATGTATGTATGTATGTATGTATGTATGTATGTATGTATGTATGTATGTATGTATGTATGTATGTATGTATGTATGTATGTATGTATGTATGTATGTATGTATGTATGTATGTATGTATGTATGTATGTATGTATGTATGTATGTATGTATGTATGTATGTATGTATGTATGTATGTATGTATGTATGTATGTTTGTATGTATGTATGTATGTATGTACAATTGTACATACATACCGTCCACCATCAGCCACATCATACGGCCATTTTATTGCATTCATGATGTATCGCTCCGTCATTCATAATAATTTCATTACTAACTCTTATAAGGGACTGACGTTCTCCTAAACTATATAATTATTACTCTTATTATTATTATTATTGTTATTATTTTGTTATTATTATTTTTTTGTTATTATCTTTTTATTATTGTTATTAATATGGGTCGATACTTCTTCAAACTGTTATCATTTTTCATCGCTATTATCATCATTACTTTAATCGTTTTTTTTATTGCTAATATTATTATTATAATTATTTGGAGGGTAATAATATTATTAATTGTTAAATCATTAACGAAACCGCATTATTAATAAGAGCAATAATCTCTCATTAATACGAAAAAAGATTTGATTGAGTTTTTTGCTGCTGCAGATGATGATGATGTTAATGATGATGACGACGTTGTTGTTGTTGTTGATGATGATGATGATGACGACGACGTTGTTGTTGTTGTTGATGATGATGATGATGACGTTGATGATGATGATGATGATGATGATGATGATGATGATGATGATGATGATGATGATGATGATGATGACGTGATTAGAAAGTGGTCGAGGCAGTGATGATTATGATGACTACAGCCTTTGCGATGATTGCAATAAGCATTCTCATTAATCATTCCAACATCACAATATCATCAGTGCGAATAGAAATCTCCACCATCATCATCTTCGCATCATCATCCTCATTTGTCATCACCAACAAATTTAGGATTGCTAAATAATATATTTGTCGTTTTATAAAGATACAGACGGACCCACACACTTTCACACTCATACACACGTACACACACACACATGCTCACACACACAAACATTATTAATTTCTATCAGTTTCGTTATAACACCACACTACGTATCTTATTCACTGCTTGCCTTTGATATGATGTGACCTTAGCAAATGAAGCAAGCAAAACACGAAGGAAGCCCAAGCATTGCAAGTATGGCAAACTTGTAAGCTAACAAATTATTCGAATATACGTTCACGCACAACTTCGAATGACACTCTGAAGCAATCCCACCCGGAAACCCGTCATGAAAGAGATGTGCAAGCTTGAAGTTAATGCTCCGTGAACCGCTCTTAATATTGAAGTGATGCTAACATCGGTCGGTCGGTCAGTCGGCGTGTCGGTCGGTTAGATCTGAGCACGTCTTTCTTTCGGTATCGGCTGCTTTTATTGCTTACCATTTTTATTAAACTTATTTTATTATGTGTATGCGTCCCATGAGTGTTTGTGATTATAAATGCATACCAATGTGTTTGTGGTGTGAATGTTGGATGTGCGTGCATGTCGTATGTACGTGCATGTCGTATGTACGTGCATGTCGTATGTGCGTGCATGTTGTATGTGCGTGCATGTTGTGTGTACACGCCTCACTGCGCGCGAAGGTGTAAGAAGATTTGATTTTTATTCGCGGTTGAACCCGCCCGCATTTGAGTGCGGAAAGTGCAAACTGCAGCGAGTTCGTCATCATAGGAATTGTTAAATGCAAGCCATAAAAGTGTATGGCATTTCTGAATGCATCCAGGCTAAAACATTGACAGAGTGTGAACAGTTTAGAATTCAATATCTCGAGTTATTCAATGTTGTTTCATATTGTTCCATATTAATAATCAACCGTGATGACAACACACCGGTAGTCAGTCACAACAACAAAAACCAATTCAGGTACGTTCTGTATCACGCTCAACACAGCAACCACAACGACCGCAACAACCACAACGACCACAACTTGTTCAACGATGACACCAACACTACACGACTTCAGCATCACCAGCCACAAAAACAGCCACTGCAATATCAATTCCTTCAGCAGCAACAACTTCAACAACCTTCACAAAATTGGCAACGACGTAATCAGCGATTCATAAACAGACTATGTTGTTGTTTAAAATGTTGCCAACACGGTGAAAATTTTCCAACTAAAATGGCTTCAACCTTATCAACAAATTGCAACAAAACGAACAATAATTTTCCTTTTATGGCACCGTCTGATGATCACGAGATAACGCTATTTTTAAGCTGTAACGACAACAACATCAACACTAGCATCAACAAAAACATCAAGAACAACTTCAACAACTGCAACAGCAACAATGTTGCAGATGACACCACGCCCAGGGAAATATCTTTTCAACATTTCACGGTCGATAATGATGATGATTCTTATTGCCAGGGGCACAGCGAGGATGGTGGTCATGATTATGATGCTGGGAGAAACCTGATGGGCTTGAGAAGTTTTCGAGGAGGGTATCAAAAGTGTGAGATGTGTAGCACTGAGACAAGTTGGTGCTGCTCGTTTTGTTGCTATTGTTGTTGTTGATGTTGTTGTTGTTGATGTTGTTATTACTTTGTCGACGATGATCTAATTATGATTGATAATAGTGTTTTTGCTGTTGTTTTTGATGTTATTGTTGTTGTTCTTGGTGTTTTTTTTTTTTGGTAATGTAAAAACGACTTTATTGACCGATGAGTTGTTGTTTGTTTGCTGGTGTAGTAGGTTGCAGTTGCAGTGGCAGCCACAATATCGATGCCTCATCGGCATGCGCGCTAACACGGCAGCATTAAATCACATCCCACAGATGAACAGCGCGGAAACATCTTAATCTGTAACAAATACAAAATCAATTGCGGCGAATGCCAGGCTTTCTGCAACAACAACAACAACAATAATAATAATGACGACATAAGCATCTGCAACAAAAACAACTGCAACGATAGCAACATTGACGATAATGACGTCATCTGTAACAACAAAAGAAGCATAATAAGCAGTTTCAAACCGGGCACTGCAAAAAGCGATTGTAGTTTAAACGAGACAAACATCAACAACTTTTGTAGTAGCACGTGCATCAGATGCAAGCATGAAAACTACAAGCACAACATTGTTGACAACAATGTTGACAACATCGAAGAATGCAAAGACATTGTTCTCAGGAATACTAACTGCTTGCCTGAGATATTGTACGATCACAATAAACATTTGAAATCACTGCAACGTGATAAAATTATCAACACTTTCAACAGCCCATCTAACGTCTGCAATAACAACATTACCAACAACAACAGCAATAGCATCAACAACAACAACATCTCTAATTTTAATGCCATCAACATCAGTTCAAACATCACTTGCTCAAGTTCTCCATTCAGCAGCAACAGCAACAGCGGTTGTAGTAGTTGTTGTTACATATGTTCTCATGCATATACCACACCATCAATTACAGCAACAACGCTAACAACAACAAATAAAATTTTCAGCAACGTAATTAAAATTAATATCGCTAACAATGTTTGTACAAGCAAAAACAACACTATAGAAAACGGCATTCCCATGAACAACGACAACATAAGAAACATGAACATTTATTCCCTAACTAACAAAACAATCTCCTCCCCATCATCACAAACAACAACAACAACAACAACATTTTCTTCTGAACCGCTACATCTTCTGACGTCACCTCTTCCCACACGACATCCATCAAACCCAACAGATCCAGGAAACGTGGAGATGTGCTGCTATTCCAAATTCGATATCGGATCTCGATATTCGAACCGTCTCGACACGACCACTGGATCGCTTGTATCTCGGTACTTGGATGATAGCACGGGTGCTTTAGAGTTTCAAGATGTAAATGCTGTGTGTCAGTGTGCAGATGATGATAAGGCTGATGATGACAGCGTTGGTGATGATGGTGATGATGACCGTGCCAAAAGTAACGAGAACGTGGACAATGGCATTAAAAATGGTTTCAGAATTAATCGAAAAAAAGCTGAACAAAAACCAAAATCATCCAAAAACATAGTCACCACCAGCAGCAGCAATAACAAAAGCAATAACAGCAGCGACCACACCAGCCACAGCAGCAAGATACGTTTCAAAACGCTGCTTGAATCATTCACGTCCAGGTTTACAAAATTTCACAAATCGCCATCCATCGACACTTTCAACAAATTCATACGCAGAGACGACGACCTAGCAGAGAGTTCAACAATCCTTCAAAATCCCCAAACATCTGGCGAGTGCTGCAAAAATAAAAACGTTGAATGTGGTCGGAGGTGTGGTGGCAGCTGTAGCAGCGGCAGGGCTGGTAGCAGCCGGTACAGCTCCTTAAAAATGAGAAGTGACTATGCACCTCTGTGTGAGGCTTGCTTCGTTAAGAACTACGACGCTTTCCAGTTTGACGAGGTCTCGAAAGGAAAAATTAAAACTGGCGTCTAGCCGTTGAATATTTTCTAATTTAATATTTGAATTTAAACTAGATTTAAATGATTTATTTTATAAAAAAAAATAATTGATTATTGAAATAAATTGTAATGTACTGTCTGGATTTATTTATTTACAATGGAATAATAATTAGAGAATACATTTCAAGTGAGTCTTGATAAAACAAACAATGATGTTCCTACTCCACGTTCGAGGGATCGTCATTAAATATCGATAATGTGTAATTTCAATAAAACAAATACACCGACAGATGGGCTATCATTATATTATGAAAAAATATTTAAATACATAAATAATAAAAACATTAATTATGCAAATTAACATAAAATGCTGAAGTAACTCAACAAAAATTTTTTAGATAATATTTTAAAATTTTGATTAATTTTTGATGTTATTATAAACAAATGATAAATAAATACAATATATTGCAAAATTCTTCCGAAGTGTTGACATTAACCAATTAAAAGTTTGTCTTTTCAATTTTTCTCACTTTAATTTTCTGGGAGTTGTTCAATTTATTAAAAAAATTTGGTAGATATTATACAATATTGTATAATATCTACCAACAAATAAATAAATGTGCAAATTTAAAAAAATATATTCTTTGCTAAACCAGTTACATTTATTATACAAATATTTTTGACCAGAAATTGGCTAACGTAATGAGAAATGAATGAACATAGAAAGTAAAAATCATCGTTGGTTTTGTCGCCGTTCACTTAGTGGTATTTAAGAGTGATCCAAGTCAAGGGCAAACCATGATACCACAATTGAACAATTACGGTTAAAATTTTGTACAACTTAACATGAGTTATCATAACATTATTATATGAAAAATAATTATCGATAAAAACTATTAAAAAGCGAGATGAGTTGTAATGATGGGTAGGAAAATATTACAATTCAAGCAGACGCCATCTGACGTGCAGAAAAAGTTTTTTCAAGCAAACAAAACAAAACGAACAACTCACAAACAACAAAATTAACAAATTTTATGAAGAAGTAAAAAAAAAGAGAATCATTAAACATGACTCAATTTAACTTAAATGTAATTCAAAGTGATACAAGTATATACTAATAAGAATGATATTAATATATTACTGCTGTACTAGTATGAAACTTAACATGAAAAACATTTTTAAGGAACTTGTCAACATTTTTAGTAACCAAACTCAATACAACTTGTAACCATGTAGAATAAACTACACAATAAACTATTAAACAGATTATACTAAATATAAACATAAACAATTGTAAACAGATTGTTTTTATATTCAAGATGGCTTATTTTTTTGTTATAAATAATAAACATTTAAATTATTAATATTATTATCATCAACAAATAGCGTCACTGGTTTAATTCATTGTTACGTCACGAATAAAAACAATGAAAAAATAATTTTTAACTTTTATCAATAGCTAGATCTAAAAAATATTTCTTTAGCAATGAGAATTTAATTCGTAACAAACACAGCATTTAAAAAGTGCTTATATTGATAATAATTTGTGAAAAACCCAAAATAAATTTCACTGTCCTATATACATTACATTTCAAATTTTATCATTGAATGTTTAGGTACTGTGGCTTTTAGCAACAATCGAGTCTAGATATTTGCAGACTCAAATAGTGCGACAATAATAAAATACTTTTAAACAAATGTTTTTTTTAATTATTTGGTATAAATGCTTTTAAAATGTTAAATAATGTAATGAAAAAATGTTTCAAATACTCAAATGCTAGATAGTCTTTTCAGATTAGACATGTTTTCATATAATTTTAAGATAATATATAAAAAGTTTTATAAAGTTTCTAAGCTGCCGAAATTAATAATTGAAAATTTATTCAATTTGAAGTTTACGATTCGATATATTCGTTTGATATCTTGAGATAGGAGAAGCTTTGATATGTTAATGTTAATCAGCGTTTAATTACATATTTGGTAAGTTTGAAAATTTCAGAATTTTTTAAAATTATTAAAAACCATCATCTAAAGAATTAAATTTAAAATTATCAAATCATCACCAAGTTGATAGCTATTTAATCATTAATTTCAATATTAAATCCATATAGAAGATAACAAAATTTATGAAATTTATGGAACATCACTGAGTTCAACATCATCGACATTAAAAAATATTTTTTTTTTAATTTTCAATTTAAGATTACACTGAAAATAAGCATTTTACAAAACATTGAATTGTATATATACATAATGTATACGCGCACACAAACACCCAGCCATCCACCCAAACACACACACGCACACACATACACAAACAAACAAACAAATACACGTATTTAAGTATTATATATATTGATCATTATGTAATACATTTTGATTGGATAACATGCTGGAAACGTTGTTGGAACATATGTGGAAATTGAAGGTGCAGTCTTCATTCAACCAACCAGCCAACCATCCAGCCAATCAACCAAGTAATCATCATCATCATCATCATTATCATCATCATCAAGCTATTTCTCCGTCATTATCATTTTTGGCATCTTCATCATCATCAGACAAATTCCACTCATCTCATCATCGTCATAAGCAGAGTTGTTATGTTAACATTTTTGCCACTGTTATGTCATTCATCATGTTTTTGCCACCTACCTTTCATTCTTGCACGTCTTAACCATCATTATCACTATTGTCAGCGTGCTCTTTGCTATCAACATCATCTTCGTTACCATCATCAACATCGTTATTGTAACCATTCTGATTGTCATCATTTTCATCGTCATCATCATCATTTTCATCATCGTCATCATCATTTTCATCATCGTCATCATCATTTTCATCATCGTCGTCGTCATCGCCCATCTTCTACTGAAGCGGTATATTTTAATTCCTGTCATGTTTAGCGCCACGATTATACACTTTCATCATCATCATCGTCATTATCTCATTACTCCATTTAACTCCTTGAATCGTCATCATTATTAAAACTGTCGCCGTAACAACCACCATCATCATCATTACCACCGCTATCATCATCAACACCATCGCCACCATCATCGCCACATTTCCACAACCGTCACAACCTCAAAAGATTCTCACACGACCTTGACCTCTTTCTCCTGGAAGTTCTTCTGACCAATCGGGTCAGCAGGTTATGTTTCGATCTAGAGAAGCAGCCAATCAGACTGCTGTCGTCACGTGATCCTCTGTGTTGTTGCTGATGATGATGGTGTTTCCGGTTGGTGCTTGATGCTGAAGTTTGAAATAATTAATTAATTATTTAATTAATTATTTTAAGAATTCAATTACAAAAAATAAATTACAAAAAAATTGAAAAAGTTTTTAATGCCAGCCGAAATTAGTCAGAATAAAAATAACAAGAGTGGACGAAAGCAGCTACAGAATCTACCCAATGGAACAAATAAAATGAAGCATTTAATCACCAACACAAATTATTCAAAATAAGAAACATTCAACAAGTAAAATTCCTTAGTAAATAAAAACTTCTTAGTAAAATTCTGTTGTAGAGAACAATTCCATAGTACAATTCAACAAATATTTTTGGCTTTCTAATGAATAAATAAATAAATAAAAAATAAATATTCCTAAAGTACGTGCGAATATTTTTCAGAGTCCCATGATTATGAAAGTATAAAAATCGCACTGACTGGTTGTCAGGGAGGTGGAGGAATCTCGATGTTGAGCAGGGGTGAGGAGAGCAGCGTTCTGCTGGTTGAGTCTCACTTGTTTGAGGATTCCAACCAAGAGGTCATCGACCTTGTGATTCAAGATGGCCGACACGTCAATGTACTTGCTGTTGTACATCTCTGCCAAAGTTCTGCCCTCTGCGAAGTTCAGTTGGTTGTTATGGTCTATTTTGTTAGAATTTGTGTCTAGCAAGTAGATAGTTTTTTTAAATGTATAATTTTATGGCTACGTGAACATATATATATATATATATATATATATATATAGTTTGTTTTGGAAATTTGAAAATGTTTTTAAAACACTTAATTTAGACTTTAACTTTCTTTCATGCAATTAATTCTGTCTTGAAATTGTAAAACTAAAAATTTTAAAATTTCAAATAACAATGAAACATCTATCTAGCAAAAATCAAATCAACCTTCTTTCCCGACAATCCTAGATCTTTCTAGATCACTTTTGTTTGCCACGACAATTATCGGTTTCTTATCGGAGCTCTTCCAGCCGCTTCTCTGACCACTACCACCCGAATCATGTAACGTCTTGTAGCCACTGCCTTTGCCAAACCTAGCGTGTTTATTGCTATTGTTGTTGTTTTCATTATTGTTATTGTTGTCATTGTTGTTTAATGTTATTTTTGGTCTCCTGACGTCATTGGACTCCCTGATACTGTACAAAATTTCGACTGCTTTCTGGTAACTTCTACGGTCGATGATTGAATAGACGATGATGTATCCATCCACGTCATACTCTCTCCACGTGTCCAGTTCCTGTTGTTCATTGGTTTGTTAACTTAACCGTTATTTTTTATCATTGTTGAATTCAGTGGATAGATTATTTTCATCAAAATTGTCACAGAAGCAAACAACTCTTAAAAGTCTTACTCATTGAATCATCTCCCAAATTTCATCGCAAATAGCATGTGCATGATATTTTTTTCATTCTTAACCCAATATCATAGTTTTATTTAATATTTATCATCGTCAACTTGTTCAACTTGTTCAACTTCTTTCAAAATGATTAGCATCTATCCGTCCATTCATCCATCCATCCATCAATCCATCCATCATTTCATCTATTCATCCATTCATCCATCCATCCATCGGACAATCCATCCAACAACCCACCCCTGTGTACGGCAGGTCAATGAACTCCAGGACCGACTCCTCTCCCTCCAGCAGAACAGGAATTGGAATGGCGATGCCATCATCTGATTGGAGGAGATTTTCAAATTGCTTTTGTAGAGTGTTAATTCTCATTCATTTATTTTGATTTGTCGTTTAGATTTTTCAAAGTTAAATTCGCAAAACGAATTCAAAAATTAGTTGAGGTTTGTTTTACATCCTTCAAATTTGACTTTTTAGACATGTCATCGGCAGTTTTTATTTGTAAGCATTTCTGCATGTGTTTTAAAACGTTTGGTTCCTGTAATATTTTACATTAAAACAATTTGCTTACGATTTACTTTTGACATGCTTTGTTAAACGTAAGCTAATTGAAAAAAGTTTATACCGTTTAATAGGTTTAGTAGGATAAACCAAATAAATCCTTATTTAACATTCATGTAAAACATCATTCGTCTAATTAGATTTCTATTTAAGTGTTGTGTTTTCATCAAAAATTCAAGAAGCGATCGTTTAACGAAGGGTTTCCACTTCTACATTTCCATGTATGTATTTAATACAAACGTACAGGTGTATGTGGTGTGCACGCAGAACTATGCTGATTTAAATAATTGTACACGTGTTTGAAACATCAATTGTACATGCATTGCATTGGGAGTTTTTGAATGAACTAGTAGAAGCGTGTATAACTCTGTGTACAAAACAAGTGATGATTTCAAAATTAGAACACAAATTAGAAGCTGACGATCGCATTAGCATTAAAGACTGTAACGTTGAGCTTAATGATGACGACGGAAAATGTTTAAGATTAGCAATTCACTTTTCTACAATCCATTTATGTACAAAGAATTCGCAAAACAGCATCAATGAATAATAGATAGGTCTTGCTGTGTTTTAAAATTTTATTAGTAACTGAGGGTTTCATCTTGTTACGGGTAGAGGGCTGAGACAATATTAAAAAATTTATTAGCATTTCACAAAAGTAATAGTAGCGACATCAGCGGCGCTCATGACTATAGAAAATTTATAAAATTCGTAGTGGCATACATAAATAGCAATTGCAAAAATAATACTAGGCTAGTAGTAGTTGAATAGTACTACTACTATTAATATTAGTAGTAGTAGTAGTAGCAGTAGGTAGTAGTAGTAGATAAATAAACAGTTTCTATGCGTAAAATTTAAAGAGGATTTTTTTCTATTGTTGTGTTTTTGGTAACAACTTTAAAATTTAAAAGTTGCCCCATTATTGCCTTCCGTTTGTTAAAATGTTTGCCATCTTTCTTAATTTATTGCAATAGTTTTTATTTTTTCGTTGATGATAGTGAAGATGGTGATGTTAATGATGATGATATGGGTGACGATAGTGGTGGTGATGATGATGATGATGATGTCAATGAGGATGGTGGTGATGAGGATGATGATAACCCTGTTGAAACTGTTGTAAACAAAGATGTGATATGTTTAGAGTTATTATGAGGCCTTTAATGTCATTCGGATGATGTTAATGTTATTTTGATGTTTTCAACGTTGATTATATTGTAATTAATGTTTGTTTTGACATGTTGTCACGCAATTTTTCATTAGCAATTATATCCAAGTTAGCTTCGAAGCATCTGTCTGCTCTTTCTTTATTATCTTCTCTTATTCGTTCTCAGTTTAGAGAATTAATTAATCTATCATTCAATTCTTTTTTCATTCATTCATTCACTCGTGTGTATATTTGCTCATTCAGTCACTCGTGTGTATATTTGCTCATTCAGTCAATCATTCATTCATTCGTTCGTTCGTTTGTAATTCGTTTATTTATTTGCTCAGTCAATCATTCGTTCGATCGTTCGTTCGTTCATTTGTTCGTTCGCTTGTTCGTTTTTTAATTCGCTGAATAAATCATGGTGTTATTGTTTATTAAATCGTGGCACTGTTCTTACGTAATTGAATTCATCATTCGGCAAATTGGGATGGAAAAATGAAAATTCACGAAACAAACAACAACAATAATAATAATAATATTAATAATAATGACACATAATAATAATTAATAATAATAATTAATAATTATAATCATTTATTTATTACATTTTCTCTTCAATATTTTCTAGAAGCATCAACAGCACACACACACTTGCTGGCGACTTTTATTTAGGTTATCTCACATCAAGAGTTTCCTGATTAGAAGCATTAAGAGCCGTGTTTTCAACAAATATTCAACGGAGGAATATTAATAATAACTTTTAGTCACATTATCCTTCTTTTGGAGACTCCCTCTCTTGTCGTCTACCCTACCTCATATCGACCTTTTATGCTAAACAACTTTATAACTTGCTGTTTTTGACGTTTTCAGACAAAGGTTTTGGTGTTCATATATTTTATTTTTAGTCTTCAAAATATTAAAACTTAAATGGCATACAATTACAAAATGATAATTTTAACTTTAAAGTTTAAATTAGTTTTGAACGTCACTTTAAAACCCTTTCTTGATTTTTTACATAAAAATGAATTGTTGAAACCTTAAATTGAGATTGAAGTTTTGAGAAAACATACAAATAGTGTTCTACATCTACGCATTGTCTACAGCAAACATACATCAACACATACACGTGGATGCATGTTTCACTAACACGTTTACTGATTTTAGTTTTTGTGCATATAAAAAACAAACATATAAAATAAAACAAACCACAAAAGAATTTTTTAGACATTTTTCTTCAAATCATTATACCTAAGATCGCTTTCCATTTTAAAACCTATAACAAGAAGGTAAATACAAAATGCAAAAAAAACTGTTCGTGAAATCAATTGCTTAACTTTGAACTAAAATTAATTTTTCAGAAAAAAGTTTTATTGAAAGTTTTGGCTGAATAATTAAAAACAAAAGACATTACATTTGTAAAACAAAACAAAACATAACAAAAACAGTTTCTGGAAGGAACAAAAAAACTTAAAAAAAAAAAAAAAATTTGAAACAGTAAGGATAGAGATCGTTCAATGATATCACTGCCTCTCCATACTCAACTGCATGCCTCCCTGCCAACACAAATCACGTGCAATTCGAAAATTAAGCTGACGCCATGAATGAATAAGTGAAAAAATGAGTTAAGGAATGAATGAATGAATGAATGAATGAATGAATGAATGAATGAATGAATGAATGAATGAATGAATGAATGAATGAATGAATGAATGAATGAATGAATGAATGAATGAATGAATGAATGAATGAATGAATGAATGAATGAATGAATGAATGAATGAATGAATGAATGAATGAATGAATGAATGAATGAATGAATGAATGAATGAATGAATGAATGAATGAATGAATGAATGAATGAATGAATGAATGAATGAATGAATGAATGAATGAATGAATGAATGAATGAATGAATGAATGAATGAATCAATCAATCAATCAATCAATCAATCAATCAATCAATCAATCAATCAATCAATCAATCAATGAATGAATCAATGAATGAATCAATGAATCAATGAATGAATGAATCAATGAATGAATAAATGAATGAATGAATCAATGAATGAATGAATCAATGAGTCTCTCATGTCTTTTTAACTTGGTTGATAAATGACAAATTAAATTAACGTGGTCCCGACTAAATCCATTGAAGAGTTTAATGGAAAATTATCGAGTGAACAAATTGAACCTTTTAAAATTTGCCCAGAAATTTGAAATGATAATCTAATAAAATAAAAATTCTGATAAAAATTTCCAGAAACACTTAGCACGACAATGCATCTCATAATCTTGTTACGTTAAGTTGCACTTGTCAGAACACAATGCAGTTACGAACGATTGAGAGGTGATGAAAAATTGAATGAATGAATGAAAGAATGAATGAATGAATAATGGGAGGATGGGAAAAAAATGAATTAACAAATGAGTTGTAAATATATAAAAAATGAAAATTAGCTATTGAAGAAATAAGATAGTGGCCCAAGAAAGTTAAAAACTTTCGTGTTATTAGTAAAAAAATAAATTAAAGAAACGGATGAACAGAGAATGACTGACTGAACAATGGAATGAAAGAACGAAATAAGTTTAATAAATGAATGCATGCATATTAGTGCATTAGTGCATTAAAACATGAATAACAGAGTGGCTTCAGGCAGCCAATGGGCTTCCTTGTCGAGAACACGTGAGCACATGCTGGCTGTCTGATTGGCTGCTAATCCGATTATATATTATGGAATAAATTCTTTGCTTCTTTAAAATTTAATCGCTTTATAAAAATGTTGAAAATATAAAACTGCATACGCCTGAACAAGTTGTGCCAAAGCAAACACACACACACGCACACGCTCATATTCACGCACACACGCACACGCACCCACACACCTGGTGGCATATCCTTAAGGGACTTCGAATGTGTTGAATGATTGTATTGAACTTGAGAATGCGTGCAAAGGACTTTGCGTGTTTAATAATACAATACGTACGTTAAGCAGGGTTGGGCAAGGAAACCTGCTGCTGATGATTTTGTTTGTTTTAGCAGTAGAAAATATGATTAATTTTTAAAAACATGAATTTTTAAAAATATTATTAATTTTTTAAATACATAATAATTTTTTGAATATTTATTCTTTTGTGCGCACAATTG